AAACCTTTAGTTTATTTTGAGTTTTTTATTTCGTCTTTTTTTTTTTTTTATTTTATTTCGAAGACATAGAGAATACTGTGTTTATTCATACGAGATCAGATTATTTTGAGTGCGAGTATGATAATATAAAAGAATAATAAAATACATCAATAGACTGACCATTGGGATTTGATAAGTTTTCTTTTGTAATTTCTATTTGAACGAATATTTATTTAACGAATTTTTATCATTGTGAATTGAATCTACAATCTCATGAAAATATTTGAGTAATTTTTGAATTTATTGAACGATAGAATTAGTATACGTTAGCAAAAACTATCCACTGGAATATTTTGAAATATAGAAGCGTTTAAAAAAATAATAATAATAAATAATTAGGTGACATAGATACTCGTACCCTATAATGATCGATATGTGTGTAAATAAAAATAATTAGATAATATACTGTTTTTATCATTAGTAACGATGAAAATGGTCAAGGAACTAGCAATTTATGTTTCATAATTATTACTAACAAACAAGTTTTTATCAAAAATGACATGACGTAGTACGTAAAACTAAAATGATAAATTTATGCTGTCAACACCTTGTGTTTCTTCTATTTTTTTATTTTATTTTTTTATTTTAAATTTAATAAAATACTTTGACATATCCGGTGTCAAGAACATTGAGTCAATTATGTTTCGTCTTTGAACTATATTAGTTATTCAATAATAAAAAAAAAAAAAAAAATTTTTCTTTTTCAATTTATAGAATAAGAAAAGAAGACAACTTAATGGTATATGAATGACACTAAATAAAAAACGGCTCTTTTTTTATCGTACAAACGTTTTAGACATTGTTGACCTTCGTTCTAGTTGAGATGAAATGAAAATAAGAGAAATGAATTGACACATGAAGATGACGATAGATTTTTTCGGTAAAAAAACAGTATATGTCATTGTTATCTTAGATAAATTTTTTTTTTAGATCGAACAAAACTTTTGTTATACTATGTAAAATTTGTATTTGACAGTATAGTTCTAAAGAAACTAAACACAAGATTACGATTAAAAGGATTTCAATGAAAGATTTATAAATATGTACTCAATTGAACGAAAAAACAAAAAAATGAAAATGAAATTATTTTTCACTGGAATACAATTAGTTGATATTTAGACTAAATTTTATATAAAAACGTATTGATATCAATAAAAAGACATATCGTTAGAAAAATATCTTCGATATTATCTGCATTCTATTCTCTATTTTTGAAAGAAATTGATCAATTTTTGATTGTACAAAATACTTATTTTCTGATGAAAAAGATTGTTGAAATAATTGTCTCCATATTTACTAACACTCGTCAGCCTAGAGGGATAAATAATGCTGAAAAGTGTCCAAAATTGTTAAAAGATACTGAAACTATACTTTTTGACGATAATTTTTTTGTGTTTTGTAGAAACACCTATTTTGGTTCGTAAAGAACGATAGTAAATTAAAAAAAAAAACGAGTTTATCAAGAAAACAAACCAGTAACATAGACTACGATGCCGAAGAAATTGTTTAATGTGCCATTTTTAATAACTCTACTCTTCCCATTTTTTTTTCCCCGAATGTTCAAGAGTAGAGTAGATCAAGTAAAAAAAAAGATATTACCTCTCAAGGTAGTTTATTATTTATGAAAGAAGCAAATAATGTGTGCAAATTATGTGTATTTACGTTTATTATGATTGATTTTCTCTTTTTATTAATTTATGTTATTCTATGACAAGAACAAATGGGTTTTTGAGAGTTTTTCCTTCACCATCCGCTCTATCTTTGTCATAAAAAAATTTGATTCAAATAGAAAAAACTATTTCTAATTTGTTTTCTCTTCAATATGATGTGAAATAAAAGTAAATAAAGATAGACTAATTTTGTTTTTCGTTTAAAAAATTTATTATCGTTGTACCAAAAACATTTTATCTCTTAGAAAATTTTCTTAGCTAATTCTAGGAATCTTTTAGTTATATCTTCTACTATCTAACTAAACAGAGACAATCCACTGTAGAGAATGATTTAACAATAGTTCTATCGTATAGTAGTTGTCTAGTTAACTAAGAAAAATGTTTTGTGCAAGATATTAATTAAAAAAACGAGTGTAACATAATCGACCGACTATGAATACACTAGATAGTTGTTTATTTAGACACATTCATTTATTGTCAAGATACGTATCGATAATTAAACATTAATAGACTATCAACTTTCTTTGTTTACTTTAATTATCAATCACTAATCAGCAATGTAAGATAATTTACTAAAAACAAAATAATTTATAAAAATTAAATAAATCATAATTCTTTTTTTATTTTATTGTTTGTTTAAATATTGTTTTTCTGCTTATAATACCTGTATGAGACAACATAGTCAAAATTACAACGGAACAGAAGAAAAAAGTTGATTCCGTGTATTATGACTATTTTTTTCTTTTTTTTGGGTCGATATATTTTTCTTCTATATTTTTCTTCTTTCTTCTTCGGTGGTTGAAGACTTTAGTATAACTATATCGATTACGTACAAAGATTATACGATAAAATAGAAAAAGAGAGAGAGAGAGACAGAGGGAGAGAGAGAGAAGAAAAAATAGCTGTTTGAGGGAAATAAAATATTAAATAAAAGTAATAATAAAAAAAGAAAAACGATTTACTTTCGATTCGATTACAAGTGATAGTAACTCTTCTCATCATCATCATACACATTTTTTGGTCATTTTAACGTAGTCAACCTGTACACTTTATGTAGCTGACGCGATTCAGTTGTGTCTTGTCTTTTTAAATACGTAATCATTATTGTGTTTTAATATACGTAAAATAGAAAAAAAAGAGAGAGAGAAAGTACATCACGTATACTATTAATGATCAGGTTGCTATTTGTCTCGTTGGTAAAGTATTATTGAATAAATTTGTTACGTCAAGATAATTGGACACTTCCCGTTTAGGGACACGGATATAGAAACAGAATTCTACAGGGAGGTTAAAAAACTAAAACATTGTATCTATCTCTCTTTTTGATAGGATCATTATTTTTTTTGAGAATCTGGATTAATAGAGAATCGAAGTATAAGGTTTCCGTAGGTTTGAACATTTTTGTTTCTTCTTCACTTTACATAAATTATCGTATATTTTAAACTCATTCTCTCTCTCTCACACACACACACACAAATTAGTCTTCAAATTTTTATTGTTTTTTATTCATTATAAAATGATTTTTTATTGGAAATAATTTTTATTCAAACTTGAAATTATTATTTATTTATTATTTTGAAATTAATCAAAATTTACTTCGTATTTTTAATTATAAATGATTCAAAATATAATTTATATTTAGAAAATATTATTTTTTATTATTTTGTTTTGTTGAATTATATTATTAATTATTTTTTTATCTAACAATAATGGTTCGTACAATTGTCCATACGACTAGTTCAAATCATTTAAAACATTCACAATTAAATATAATCGATAATCGTTCATTTATATCATCATTTATGTTAGATAAACAATGGAATAAAACAAATCAAATATTTAAAGAAAAAAATTTCAATACAATGATGTTATCATTATTATCGGATCAAAATAATGATAATAGTGATTATAAATCATCATCATCATCATCATCATCACCATTTTTATTTGAATATACATTTAAAAAATCATCATCAACATCTTCAACATTTTACGATTTATTAACAAAAAATTTTACAAATTATTATCAAAATGTTGATAATAAAATAAATGAAAATAATAATAATCTTGAAAATGTTAATAATGATGATCAATTTATGGATAATGATTCAATTAATAAAAAAAAATATCGTAATTCATGGCCAACAATGTTAAATAAACAATCAACAATTGCATCTCTATCAAAATCATTTGATATATTAAATAAATTAAATACAACACTTTATAATCAAAAATCGAATGATAATAATAATACAAAATTAACTTATACTAAATATAAACGACCATTGCCATGGTTTCCTAATGATAAAATAAATCCATTGCCATCGTCCAATACATGTCAATTTGCTAATACAGTTATATCAAATAAAGCTAGAGAAACAAAAATTATGAATACATCATTATCATCTGATCTAACACAACAAAAGGTATGTGTTTTATACAACCTCTAAAGGACTTCTGTTATAATTGAAAAGAAAGGGGGACGTGAGCATGATTCAGATTACTATTTTTTCTATATAGTTTGTTAATTAGATTTATAGAAAGTGATCTCAATTTATTTTTTTTTTCACACACACTTTAATAATTTCCAGAAATCTTACAGAACAATCACTCACTCATTAACATCTTTTATATAATAAACCCAACTATAGAGCATAGCAGTACTTTAATGATCGTAATACTGTTTGATTTAGGGGATAATATGAATATTATTATCATCGATATCACTACTACCAATTACTGCATCATCTTTTATTGTTATTGAACATGAACATAAATTATGAGTACAAACCGTTTTTTTTTGAACGATATAAGTAACTTTTATATAAATATATCATCCTGATTTCTTTCAGTTTTTATATGAGAAGAAAAAAATACAGATTTATCAACATAATAGGATTCGTAGACGAAATCAGATTGATATATTGTGTTTCAGTTCAAAATGCATGCGCTTTTAGCAATGGTTTCAAGAAATGATTCAATCTATTTCTCTCTCTCTTTACAGTAGTCAATCATTTCCAATTACGGAATGATCCGAAATTATAAACAGTATACAAAGTGTGTGAAAATAAACAAATTCTCTATTTCAAATTGTGATCAGTTTTTAAATTTAATTAACTAAACATAGAAAATAGTGGTCTAAATCATGAATCCATATGATAAGATGTTCTATGTAGTTCTTTTCCAATTAGTTTTTTAAAGGTCATTTCTTTCATTTTAAATGAAAGAAGTCTTGTCATTTTTTTCTTAACAGAAATTATTAATAAAATACGTGTAGAAATTTTACACTTTTATTGTTAAATAAAAGAGATCATTATAAATTGAAGTTGAAATTAAGTGTTGTTTAAAGTGTTGCCATTGAACTTTCTTCTGTTTTTTTTGTACCAATTATGAATAGTAACGCATAATTTTTTTTCTCTATATAATAAATAATTGTCTTCTATTCACTTCTTTCATATGTTATATTGCATAAAAATGATCTAGTCTAGAAAAGATTCGTTTTTTTGTTTTTTTTTTGTTTATTTATCAAGTCATTCTCATTTTATCCAAAAATCGTTTTATGTGATATAAACAAAAAAAACTCTTTATTTGCGTGTATATGTGTATATGTACGATGAGCTGACCAATTATAATCATACAAAAAAGATTAATAGAGTTTATTCGGCTTCTGTAAAGAGCTTTGATAAAAATATACAAACAGTTAAAAATATCTGAGAAAAGAAAACAGAAAAGTAAAATAAAAATGCAGCCTCACAATTTTTAAATGAAGTTAATATTAGAAAATGAAATGAGAAATAAAAATAGAATATTTACTTTTTATAGTGAGAGAACACATAAATATCAGTTCATTAATATGTTAACGTAATGGAGATGAATTGCATGATGTATGTTATACGCATTACATTATGAATTTTACTATGATCAACTCAACTATTTCTCATTATTCTTTTTTTTACTTAATATACAATGAATTTGAGACATGAGAAAAATATTTGAATAGTGTATTTTTAACACTAATATCCTGTCTAATAGGCAGTAATCGATTTTTGTTTATTTTTAGCTAACTTGCATGCGTCATTCAATCTTTAAAATTGAATACTTGACGAAGAATAATACATCATTGGTTTCAGTCTCATCTTGTATGATCTAATGCATAAGTGATTTGCACTTTGTACTCTTAACACTATCTGTAACTCATAAAGATAGCAGAAATTATCATGGGACGAAAGTTGCATTCTACTATAGAAAATTTTCATTCTATGAGATTCCATGGGTTCAAATTAAATTTTTTCTCAAAAACTATCTCTTGTTAAGTTTCTGCTACAGATAACCTAATTCGTCTGTTTTTGTAGTATGTTAAATATCCGTTATACACAGATGTTCATTTAATATTGTAATATTACTAGTTGATGCGTACGTTTTCTTATAGTTACGACGACAACTTACATAACCTTCAATACGCTCCAATTCATTTTTATCATTTTTCTTTATGAAGTGTACAAAAACCTTCTAACAAGGTGCTTTCAAATTTTTTGTATTATTTTCGATAATTGAATAGAAATTATTTTTATATTTCGAGAGGCCTGTTATTCTCTCAGAATCATAAGACGATACATGAGTAACATTACACGAAAGTTCTGTCACAGACTCAAGTTTCAACCGTAAGAAGCCAATATTTATGGCTGATAATATGACATAGTTTATCAGACAATGATAAAAGACTGTGACACGGAATGTTGTCAGAAGAAACGAAAGTTTCCAAAGTATCCATGAACCAGGACAGGATAGGATGGAAAGAACGGGGGCCGATAAGCGGCAAAATCGGCTCCCTCTTAGGTAATTATTCAATACAGGAATTTGATGGTGTTTCTCTCCGATACTAAAACTCATACATTTCCAGACCTTAAAAAAACGTTTTCGGATGCTTCTTGGTAAAATTTTCGCACTCAAGAGCTCTCTCGCGCTAGATCAACTATACTTGAGTATTTTCATTATTTCACCTCTTTTGCTGAGAAAAAACTCAACTATTCTATATCATTCAATAGAGAATTTCACGGGCTACAAAATGCTATATAGACTATTGAGGAGCAACTATAACTGAGTAGTCTAATATCGGAAATACTCTGTAGTATCTCAGCAAACCGGGAGGTCAAGAAGAAAAACCAGCTCGTTGGTAAAAATTTTCCAGTAGAATTGTATTGAGTTTTTTTTATGGACTGGTAGCCCGGGATCTCCTCTTTAACATGGGAGACAAGCGAGACCTTGATTTCTTGCGTTGCATTGTATTCTCTACGAGTCCACAGACCGGCACTCGGTGACTATTGGTAGCCTTGAAAACTGGTGGATTAGAGGTAATCAATCATGCTGAATTTCGTGGGAATATTTGTTTTTAGAAAAAGTTTTAAAAATTTTAGCCCAAAACGAGTTTTACAAAAATTAAGGTTTTCAGCCAAATATTCGCACGAGACCCAGCATGATCAATTACCTATAATCTACCAGCTTTCAAGGCTACCAGTAGTCACCAGATGCCAGTCCGGGAACTAGAGAATGCAATACAACGCTCGATCTTAAGTGTTAAAGTAAAGAGAAGATAGATTTAGTTTGAAAAGTATCAGCAGTTTTTGAACGTCGTCCTGTTATTCCGACCTTGTTATTTCATACAACTTATTCCATTCTACATTTTTAAATAAGCTGTTTTTTCAAATATATCTTTACATTTCTTATTGTGCACTTCATTGTAGAAGAAATGTTAGTTGATAGATCGAGATGAATCTTGAGTGAAAAATTTAAGAATAATTAAGTCGATATATTGCGATGAAAGTATCGATTAACTGTTATCGTGCACATTAACTTTAAACGTACCATTACTCAACTGTAATAAGGAAAAGAATATTTGCATTATTCCATAAGGAAAAAATATTAGAGATGTATAGAAAATCGATGGTTTCAAACTAGGAGAAATACGACAGTACATATGAAAACGATGACTCAAATAAAGAAAAGTAATATACACACTGATCAATATCAAGGTTTGAATAATTACTTACTTGATCAAAGAGTAGATTATGTATGGGTTGTTAGAATATTTTTTATTATGTGAAGAAAAAAATCCAAACAATTCAAATGTTTTATTTTCCATTGATTAACACCTGTAAAAAATATGTCCATTTTTAAATTTTTATATTTTATTGTCTTTTTTTTCTTCTTTTTATTCGATCAATCTTATTGTTTGTTTTTTTATTTCTAGGATTATGTCACACTTGTGCGAGAATTAGCACAATTAAGAGAACAATTAACTGAAAAAGAAGATGAAGTCAATGAACTCAAAGCCGAAAGAAACAATACACGAGTAATTTAAAACGATATTTTAAATTTTATACAGATATATAATTCGTTGTGTCAATTTTTCTTTCAGTTATTACTCGAACATTTGGAACAACTTGTGGCTAGACACGAAAGGGTATAACTATCATTTTTAAGATTTGTATCATCTTTAGTTATATTATTTGTTTATTTTAGTCCCTCAGGCTGACTCTACTAAAACGACAACCTCAAGGTGTATCATCCGAGGTTGAAGTACTTAAAGCATTGAAATCACTATTTGAACATCATAAAGCACTTGATGAAAAAGTAAGATAAGCACAATATATCAGAGCAGAAATGAAATACTAGAAATAATAGTTTACAGTCAGTTAAGTTAAATTTCATCTCTTATTTTAGGTACGAGAGCGTCTAAGAGTAGCCATGGAACGTAATACACAGTTGGAAGAAGAATTAGAACGAACGAGAAACGATGTAAGAAAGTAGACTATAGAATCTTAATTAAAGCTCATTCTCTATTTTGTTTTTTTTTCAGTTATTAGTTGTGCGTGAAAGTACACAATCAAAAGTGATCGATATTAATCAGTTTAAAGTAAGAAAGTCAATATTCTGTATACAATTGATTGATAAACTCATTTTATTACTTATCTAGAGTTTAGCAAATGGTACCCTAGATCCTGATTCATTAACAGGTAAATTAGTGGAAATGCAAGAATTAATGGATAAACAATGTAATGAATTAATATCATCTCGTTCACGTGTACACGAATTGACAAATCGTAATAAAGAACTAGAAGAAAAATTATATATTATACAGCGAGAATTAACTCATACACAAGAACAAACAATAAAATATCAACGAGATTTGAAAGAATCACAAGCACAAAAAGAAGATCAAGAAGAAAGAATTACAACATTAGAAAAACGTTATTTAAATATCCAGAAAGAGACAACACATTTAACAGAGTTTAATAATAGACTAGAAAATGAATTAGCAACGAAAGAAACACAGTTAATACATGTAAGTTCTTTGCTACTATCTTTCTTTCTAACAAGCTTCATTACAAGAGATATTCGCCAATTACACTAATAAAAGATAAATACTATTTGACCCTCTACTGTTTCTGACAATGTGATTTATTTTCGTTTCTGTATTAGTCTCTTCTATGATTCATAAATAACACACTATATTTCATTGTTAAATCTAATTATTGTGAGTTAATTATACTAACATTGAAGAATATTCAGATGAATACTTAACAACGACTACTAATAGTCGAAACCTAGTCACTAGTATCCACTAACAGTTAATAACACCGAAAAAAGATACGAGTTACACGCTATCCAACTCTTAATGTGGAATTGCGTTTATATTTGCTAAATTATAAAGTAGAGAGATAATGATGTCTTTTTTGGGGTATTAGCGACTGTTAATGGCTATTAATCTACTTTATAAATACCCAACCTCATCTACCCAGTTTCTATGAAAATGATCAATTGATTATAATATACCACTTAATTTCAAGTTGAAGTTATTTAAAATAAGTTTCGTCCTTTATATAGGGAAATAAGGAAGAAAAAATTAAGATTAACGTGTTATTGAAATCATTCGTTTCTTTTGCTTGCTGTAGACTGTGTATACTTTGGTATTTTATCGTTATTAAGAAAATGACTGACACATATGTTTTACATAAATAAACAATCAAACTTTCGTCTTCGAACGAAAAAAATGTATTAGCAAAAACATTACTGAATTTACCTCACCTATATACAAGGTCTTAGATTTGATTTAGATTTGTTTTGAAAAAAATATCTCACTCATGTTATTTCTATTGCATTGATTCAAAAATTCAAATCAATATTGATGTAAAAACGTTATATCTCCGAAAGAAAGAAGAATGAACTTGTTTCTATAGACATTTATATTTATAGTATGCAGTCATCCTTCATAGTTATAGAGTAATGCCATATTTCACAAAGGTATTCAAAAAATAAAAGAACGCACGTAGATTTTACTCAGTTCGAATTTCGACTAACACTTGCTTAGTTGATAGTAATACAATTTTTCATATCAAAGACAGATTTAATTGAAATCACGAGAGATTTTTTATTCTAAACAGTTATAATGCTGTCTTTATTCCTATATTATTATCTTCTGCATACATAATGTTTTTGTTTACACGTTATTCCTCCTGAAACATGTCCTTGATAGTCATTTTTATAACTTAAAAGAATAAATACTTAGATTTTTTTTATTATTTATTACTAAAATAGTCTGAAGAAAGATATCAAGCATTGCAGGAGAAATATGATTCAACTGAACAAAAACTACAACGTTATAACGAGTATGAACAATCGTCAACACCACAGACTGTACCTTTATCAACCACCTCGATTACTACGACAAACGCATCAAACGAGTCACATCGACCTTATTTACAGCATATACAATCGAATAATAATGATGATAAATATCATCAATTACAAAGTGAATTTGATGATCTCAAAATGGAATTAACGAGAGTAAGATGTTTTCATTGCACGGTTTTATTCAAAACGATATATAAAAGATCGAGAATTGTTTTGATAATATTCTACAATTTTAGGCTCGGCAACGTGAAAAAGTGACAGATGAACATAGTAATCGTTTATCAGCCACTGTGGATAAATTATTAGCAGAATCAAATGAACGTCTACAAACTCAATTGCGTGAACGTATGCAAGCATTAGATGAGAAAAATCAACTTGTGCAAGAATGTGAAAAATTAAAGAAACAACTTGATGATACACAATCAGAAAGGGTAAAAGACGATTTTATTGAAAAATTGTTTAGTACTCTATCATTCGATATTCCTTCTTTTCAGATAAAACTACTCGATGATATTGAGAAGCTGAAAACAGAATTAGATCGCGTGAAACGAGACTTTCAATCTTTACAAGAGAAAACGTTAAGCATGTATGTATCTGAGAAGAGTAATGAATACATACAATAGTAGACTAGTTTTATGATTTTAGTGAGCCACAATCAACTAACACTTTGTCAGCACTTCCTACAGCTGTCACATCATCCTCAAATATAACTACTTCTACAACAATTATCTCATCGTCGATGCCAACGTTAAGTTCAATAAATGTTTCTTCGTCATCCACTATTCCATCCACAATTACTACAAACACCAGTCTCTACTTTACACCTCCCAGTATTGATCTTTTCACCGAATCATTGATAAGACGGCCTCCACCACCGCCTATTCAACAACGAACAGTGAAAACAACGACTGATATCTATAAGGTAAAAAACCTGAATTTTAAAATAATAAAAAATAAAAATTCAATATTTCAATATTTCGTTTGTAGCCGCCCGATATTACTGACTGGGATAATATTGATCAAGCTCAAGTAATTAACGATGTTCGATTAGCCTTTGAATCTTCAGATGTTGAATTAACGACGGACGATGAAGATTCAATTTATCAACATTCAGTTGATGTATTACCATCAGTTACGAGTGGACAGCAACTTTCACATTATCATCATTCAGGCGATGCCCAAACATTAGCCCTTATGCTTCAAGAGCAATTAGATGCCATTAATAATGAAATAAGGTACATCTTATTGTTTCGTAATTATTTGTACTAGTACTGATATATCACTGATTTGTTACAGAATAATACAAGCTGAAAAAGTGGATGCTGAATTACGCGCGGAAGAATTAGAATCACGTGTTGGTACAAATGTAGGACCCGTCGGTTATCATTTGGACGATGATGTAAATAATCAAGATACAATAACAAAAGTGGCAAATGGAGTATCAAATACACATCCTATTTATCTGTCTAACCGACATTTAAGAAATTCTCCACCACCTCCAAATAGTGGACGTTCGACACCGAGGACATCGCCAAATAAAACTTATAAATTTGCAACTGTAAGACATTTTAGTTGCGTTAACTAAATTATCTGCTATTTTTCTTATATTTAGACTCCATCAGGGATGTCTTCGTCACATATGTACACGTACAACGTAGCTGATAGTACAATAAATTCAGATCCAAGAACAAATGTAAGTGAAATCTTTTTTTTATCAACTGAGAGCTATTTTAACAAGAACAGATCACAATTTAGGATTATCAACATTATCGCCATCATAATTCTTCTAAAGATTCAACTACTCCATATAAACAAGATTATAAAGCTCCATCAAGATTTATTAAATGTGAATCCAGTCCTCCAAATACACCACCACGTGGATCCTCTACATCAACAATTCCAACAACAAACATGATACGAACGACAACACCACATCACCATTATCATCAACAACACTATCAAATTGCTTCTTCAATTCACAATCAATATCGTGCAAATACAACTGCATCTAGTCACGAAGATATTAGATCACATTAGTACGTATTTATTAAACGTGATTGTCATGAACGACAGACATCCTATTGAAATTTTGTATTCGTACGAAAAGTTTATGGGATGATTCTGACGTTTGAAGAGAAAGATAGCAACAGAATCCAGTTAGAATTAACACAAAAGAGAAGAACATTTTTATTCATCCTAATATACTTTTCTCATTTGCTCTTATTCTATTTTATTAACTTTTTTCAATAAGAAAATCTTCTTTTTAGCTCACCTCCGTCAACGGCTGGCAATGCCGCTCATCAAGATTCTCCTAGCCCAATAAGTAGTCAAAATTCAAGTGACGATTCTATGTATAGTAAAAATCAACAGAAAAAGAAAAGCATCCGAAATTCATTAGGAAGATTGTTTGGTGGCGCACGAAAACCTAGTATTGGTGGAGAAAAGATAAATAGTATTCAACATCAACAGTTACATCACGATTATTCCTCTCCTTATATTTCGAGAGGTATATATTTGTTTCATAATAGAATCCTAATACACATGTTCGGTTATTTTTAGCATCCACTCAAGATAGTGGTAATATTGATACAAATGAATCATCAACAGGAACACTGTTAAGTTTAGGAAAAACAGAATTTGATCGTCGAATTAAAAAAAAGTAAAATAAGAACACACTGATTTGAGTTAATTATTACTAACTTTATACATTTAGGCAAGAACTTCTTGAAGATGCTATCAGAAGTAAACGTCCGTTTTCATCATGGGATGGAGCTACTGTCGTTGCTTGGCTCGAGGTATATTGAATCAATTTGTACATTATGAAAATATTATAAATATTTTTCTTTATAGTTATCATTAAGTATGCCAGCATGGTACGTGGCCGCATGTAGAGCAAATGTTAAATCGGGTGCAATTATGTCTGAACTAAATGAAGAAGAAATTCAACGTCAAATTGGTATCAGTAATCCATTACATCGATTGAAATTACGACTTGCTATTCAAGAAATAATGAATTTAACATCACCAGAAGGACCGCGAACATCTGTTACCGTATGCTTCGAAATATTTTTAGGAATATGTATTTTTTATCTTATTCATTTATCATTTAGTCATTGGCTTTTGGTGAAATGAATCATGAATGGATTGGAAATGAATGGTTGCCAAGTATTGGTTTACCTCAATATCGAAGTTATTTTATGGAATGTTTGGTTGATGCAAGAATGCTTGAACATTTGAATAAAAAAGATTTGAGTAAACAACTAAAAATGGTTGATAGTTTTCATAGGTTAGTTATCTCAATTTTTAGACTAGCATGAAGCTCTACTCTAATGATTGCCTAATGTGATATTTTTTTTCTTTAACTTTAGAACCAGTTTTCATTACGGTATAATGGTTTTAAAACGTATTAACTATGATAAAAAAGAGCTAGATAGACGACGTGAAGAATCATCGAATGAAAATCAAGGTAATATTTACTATTATTCTTATTATATGAAAAAATACATATATTTTCTTGTTATAGACGTTTTTATATGGAGTAATGAACGTGTGATACAGTGGTTGCAAACAATAAATGGTTTAAGAGAATATGCGAATAATTTAATTGAAACAGGCATTCATGGTGGATTAATAGCACTAGACGAAACATTTGAAGCAAATTCAATGGCATTGGCATTACAAATACCTAATACTCAAACACTTGTCTGTTTAATAGCTATCTTTTTTTTACGTGTCTATTATTTCTTTTATGATTTTTTTTAGGCACGACAAATTTTAGAAAGAGAATTTCGACTTCTATTGGCAAATGGAACAGATAGAAAAATGGATGATGTATGTATTTAACTTGAGTTTCTTTCGTACTCTATTTTTTCTTTTTCGACTTTTAAATACGATAAAAATATTCTAGAGAACAAGAGAATAATGATACTACAAGGGTAAAAATAAATAAACTTAAATATTTGTGTGTTGTGTATGCGTGTGTGTGTATGTGTATGTATGGTGCTTATTTAGCTTAGACCTTATCTGTAATGTCAAACCAAACCGTTGTTTCTTCTTTAATGCTTAACTACTATTCTTGTGACTTTTATCTTCTACGTTATGCATATACATCTTTAACACCGACAAATTAAACAGATTCTCTCAATTATTTATATAAGTTTATATTGAGATATTTCGTAAATTTCAAAGAAAATCATCAGCAAAAGTTAAATGGAAACAATTGGAACAGTATAAAATCATTAAGTTATCACTTTGATGCGTGAATATTGCTTGTTTGAATGAACGTAATTTTATTCTTGTTTTTTCTTGTTTCATTTAGAGTGAACGCTCAAAATTAAAACTAGGGTCGTCGTTGTTTCAGAAGAAGTTTCGTGATAATGTATCAAAGTTGAAACCATCAAACGGTGAAGTCAATGGTAATAGTATTATCACGAATTCATCTACTAATAAAATTAACGGTTCGACTACTGTTGCCGTTGACTAACACAAGTTTAGCAATAACGAATTAATAATAATAATAATAATAATAATAATAATCCTATTGACTCCTCCTCCATTTAAATTGAATGAGATTATGTTCCAAAGAATGCAAACCAAAAATTCAAAAATTAAGCAATCAACAATCATCCTACACGACCAATTCATTGTGTTTTGTATCTTCATTTTTGTTTTTTAATTATTTTTCTCTCTCTAAAGTTTGGTAAATCTCGCTCTGTTCTATGAATGTGCAATTTTACTAATGTTATTTTTTTTCCACTCTCTCATTTTCATCTCTTTTGTATTTCTATTTTCTATTTGTCATATATTTTATAACTTCCGGTATCTTATACTTTGTTTGATTGGTTATTTTATTATGTGTAGGTATCAAAACGTTGATAAATATATAACTTACTGTTTACATGTTGTTTTTCTATGCAATAAATCGCACAAAATCTTGTTTTAATGTTTTCGATGTTTTCAAGAGGAAATGAATACTCAATAAATGCGAAGTTTCTTTAGTTTAGTAATACGTTGTCTTCGAAAAGCTCATTCTCTTCGTTGTTGGGTTTTGTTTTTCTCTATTTGAATTGATACATTTTGCTTGTGCATGTATCAATTATACGTTTTTGTTTGTTTCCCATTCTTATTTATTGTTGTTGTTGTTGTTTCTCTTCTTTTTGATATATTTATAAGAGCACACACACTTCGTTTTTTATTCACTTGCGACAGATTTGTACCGTTCATCTTTTTTTTCTGTTTATTTTATGCAGTTTTGTGTGTGTGTGCGTGTGTGTGTGTATAACAATAGAACAACGAAACATATTTTGTTTTGCCATCTTTATTATCAGAAAGCGCAATTGAGATATCAAACAGCAGAAAAACAGTGACATTAAATGGACAAAAGTTTCTTAATGTCATCACAGTTTCTTGTCTGAGTTCGTTAAGAAACTTAAAGTGCACAAATCTGTAGTACGAATCAAGCTCAAAACGACTTTATGTATTACAGATTAATTCATAGCTTTGGAGGATAAAAGATTTAAAAAATTAATAGACAATAACTTCCTAGTGGTTATTATTTTTGTGGCAAAAAACCTTTTCCTAAACGTGAATTTGATTTATTTTAACGCCATCAAATACTGATAATTGTTCACTTTTTCTTCGTTTATTATTCCTTATGGTTTAAAAGCAATTAGTTATTGTGCCCGAGATTCCAACATATGAAGTTGATGTACCAGAGAAATGTTAGTGTTGACGTATAAAGGAAACGGGGTTTATCTTTATTTAGTTAGTGATAAAATGGTAAATAAAAATTGGACTCTTACCGCATAGTCCTCTCTCTTTTAATATTTCTTGTTTAGAAATAGTTTAACTTTTAACTGAAAGTAGCTCTCTACCGATTTTATTGCATAAAAACTTATCCGATTCAGTACGATACATGACACACCATTTTGAATACAACTTTTTTTGTCGTCTACAATAATACAAGAACTCATACACTCTCTTTATTGACAATCATCGTACAATACTGTACAAGGAAAGAAATAACGAACGCGATATGTAAGTGTTGGAGAATATCTGCATGTAATTCTGCCTCCTCCTTTCGTCGGAAATACAGAGTTTTCTATAAAAAATCGATATCAATCTAAGTGCATAGTTGGAGAGCCAAGAATGCCTGCTCTAAGAATCCATACTGTTATAGCCAATTTCAAAAGTTTCTGAAGATTTTTGAAAAGATACATGTGATAAGCTCAAACGAGAAAGTGCTGGAATTTGGATTTGGTGAAACAACATGCGAAGAGCGTTGTATATTTTTCGCATTATTCTCAGCCGATGGGAAATATACTGGCTCAAGTCTAATTTAATTGTTATTTCAACACCTAAATATTTAAAAAGTTTAACAAGATTAATTATTGTATTTATACTTAACAATTGGAAAATGTGGTGCTACCACATTGTGAACAAGAAGTGCTTTTGTTTTTTCAACGTTTACTGGAAGCAACTGATCGTCAGCATATTTTTCCAAAATACACATAGCTGATTCTGCTTGTCTTTCTAGCTCTAAAGTATTTGTGCTGAAGCGACTTTCAAGTGCATCTGATATGACTATAGCTAAATCATCCGTAAACAGAAAACAGAAAATTTAGAAAAACAGAAGGAAGAAAATGAACATGAAGACGAAACAGTGTTTGAAATGGTTCTTTCCTGTAGCCACAGGAAGACCCATCGAAGAAGTGAAAGCGGAAATTCTTAATCGATAAGAGTTTTCAAGTGCGCTGGATGCCACATTCGATCAAAAGCTGATATAAAGTCAACAAAGATAACCAACGCAGGTCTATTGCATGCAGCCACTGCTAATCTCAGATCTTCGATCGGAGAGAGAATCCGTGTTTGCAGGCTTCTTTCAGGCGTAAAATCAGATTGTTCGTCCACATTGTTAGGATCCTGGAGAGATCCTAAGACGGAAGAAGACAGCCCGGTAGTGTAATGGCAGTACGTCCGACCGGTAATCGGAAGGTCTGGGGTTCAATTCCTCAGTCGGGCAGTGGTCTTTTTCCGT